ACCTCAACTCGAGTACTGCCCGAGTTTAATTCGAGAGTCGGGTTGAATTCGGGTTACTTAATTCGGGCTGATTTCGAGTTAAAAATCGGGTTGACTTGAGTTACTTAATTCAAGTTGATTTTTTGAAGTGTAGATTTATTTTTTTGAAGTGTAGATCTAATTTTTTTAAGAGATCTGAGATGAAGGGCGAGGCGTAGATGAGGGAGATTAAGAGTTTGAGACGACTCAGACGAGTTACGATTGAGAGAGGGAGGAGTGACGAGTGAGAGGAATCTAAGAGTGATAGAGGCACAGGGGTGAAAACTTGAAGTGACGTAAAAGTCTAGACTCTAAAGAGTGAAGATAAATACTAATCTTAGTTAAATATATTTAAATATTTATGTATATTCGGGTTCAANCTGACCAAAGCAAGCTTCTATGCAACTATCCAATCTTCATAGCTTGATAGAACTCAAATCTGGCAAGTAGTGACCAACTTTGACATGCGCTTTCAATAATACAGTATAAGTGATGTCCTTTGGAGAGACTCCTGAATTGGACATCCTATACAGAAGATTCCCTGCTTCCTCCACTCTACCATTCTGGCAGAGGCCATTGATTGCAACAGTGTATGTATATACATTTGGGAGACAATTCGGCTGCTTCATAAGATCTAAAACTTTCAAGGAGTGGGTGGATTGTGTAATTAGCATTTTACAAATTGTCTAATACAGATTGATAGTTTCTTGCGGTTCGATTTGTAGGGAAAATTTTGTCCAAATTTTTTAATTGAACACAGAAAAATAGTTGATTAAATATTGATGATTTTTGTTCAGCATATAATATAGTGCTTTGAGGCACATACATTTCTTCTAATTGTATTTTTTATGATGAATGAAAAGAAAACATTTCGGCTCATTTTGGTTCTCCAAAGTCATGATATTAAGTTAGATAAGTGAATGTCGGTTCTTAAACCGATCATCGCTTACTAAGCGCTATTGTTAATTTTAATTAGATATGTAATTTCAAGAATATGAATTTCATGCGTTTTCAGTTTAAGTTTATGAGATTTTATCATTAAAGTTGAGTTTTTTCATCTTCATATAGGTCATACGTTGTTGATCACTAATTCAAAGTGTAGGTGCGTTAAGAATTTAGTTGTATCTTCCAGCTTAATATGCGCGTTCATGTTCAATACTTTCTTTTTTTGTGTTCACAATCAATGTTCGATTTTTTTGAATTGTACAGTGTCTTCTGGCACGGGTTATCGCTAGTCTATAATATAAAACATGACATGTTTCAATAAAACCATCCGACAGTCTCAAATAGACTTATCCAACGACCACCAACATTCTTTTCAAAACCATTCACATTGAATTTTACCTTTCTCTCCTCATTCTTCACTCTCTCTCTCAGAGATCTTTACTTTTGTGCCTTTAGACACGGATTATTTCTAGTATAATATACATTAGACCTTATATAATATATATTATATTAACAATTATATATTATATTAATAATTACCCGTACTTGAAGTCACTATATAATATACACAAAAATTGCAAGTAATTGCCCATCTTAAAAGAAAAATGGCCCAAAAACATTAATACCAATTCTTTTAAAATGACCCAAAATATATTGTCGATCACATCCTCCGTATTAATAGAACTATCGCAAAAATGTACAAAAAACTCCTCAAAACATCACATAAACAAATACCTAAAAAAAACAAATACGAACAGAATCTAATAAAATTTATAATTTTTAAGTTATAAATAAAATCTTACTCATTTATAAGATGTATTTAATTTATCACCATTGTCACCGTTTAACCCAATAACACAACATAATTATAAACTCAGTCACTTGTTATTTTTTTATTGGTGATTATAGGGTTGCGACTTGGATAGGTTGAGAGGTTAATTCTAGCCCAACCGTAAGTATATAATCTTCAACCCTAACCCTAACCCTAACCCTACTTCTACCTCAACTCGAGTACTGCCCGAGTTTAATTCGAGAGTCGGGTTGAATTCGGGTTACTTAATTCGGGCTGATTTCGAGTTAAAAATCGGGTTGACTTGAGTTACTTAATTCAAGTTGATTTTTTGAAGTGTAGATTTATTTTTTTGAAGTGTAGATCTAATTTTTTTAAGAGATCTGAGATGAAGGGCGAGGCGTAGATGAGGGAGGTTAAGAGTTTGAGACGACTCAGACGAGTTACGATTGAGAGAGGGAGGAGTGACGAGTGAGAGGAATCTAAGAGTGATAGAGGCACAGGGGTGAAAACTTGAAGTGACGTAAAAGTCTAGACTCTAAAGAGTGAAGATAAATACTAATCTTAGTTAAATATATTTAAATATTTATGTATATTCGGGTTCAACCCGATTTAATAATCGAGTTCAATCCGATTTTAATATTCAGGTGAATTTGATAACCCGAGACTTGTCCAAATTCAATTCGGGTTAGAATTTTTTGCCCAGACCTAATTCAAGTATTAAAAATTCTAAACCAAGTTCGTTTTTTTT